CACCAACACCCCCACCCCCACCAACACCCCCACCAACACTGGTAGGGCATGCCACTCTATATAAACAGAGAGCAAACCCCATTCCAATCTAGCATTGAAGATGTTACCTAGCCAGGTAATGAAACATTTGCAAGAAAACAACCAAGCTCAGAGAATCCCAAGGACCCCACAGTTCAACCCTGAGCTACAAATATTACCTTCTATATGTAGTCAACTCATATATTGTCTCAAGGCAGTGAAGTACTTACTACTCCTGCCTCCTATTTTCCCCACAACAACTCTGTGAGGTGGGTTGAGCTGAGAGAGGGTGACCCAAAATCATCCAACCTGCTTTCATACCTAAGGGAAGCCTAGAATTCATAGTCTCCTGGTTTCTAGGCCAGCACCTTAACCACTGCACCAAACTGGCACTAATAATGGTAATAATGCTGCAATAATAATCTTTATTAATAAACAATTAATGGCTAATGTTAATAATAAAATATAAATATAATACATAAATTATAATAATCTAATAATTGGTTAATTCTTGGGATTTTTCTGAACAAATAAAATCACAGTCTTGGTTCAAATCTTGGCTAGCAAGAGACAGCCAAGGGGTGCAGATAGGTGCAACCAGCTCAATAGCTTAAGATAATGTCTTGCCTTAATGGTGTTCTATGCAACATGGAGAATCTTAAAGATAAGCAATAGTGCTGCCTCCATTTCTATAAGAAGGGATGGTAGTAGGGTTCTGATGAGGAATTGTCAGAATGACACTGGAACTTCTGTTTGACTCTTGTTCACTGTCATTTATACCTTCTTATTTGAATCATTGCAATGCACTCTACATGGGGCTGCCTTTAAAGAATACTCAGAAGCTACAGCTGAACTTGGGTGCAGCAGCTTGAGTAGTTAAGGGCACATCTTCTTTTGCCTAATAACACTTCAGCTTTAGGAACTGCACTGATTATTGGTTAGCTTCTGAGTGCAATTCAAGGTGCTGGTTGTCCCTTTTAAAGTCTTATGGGGTTCAGAACCTGGATATTTTCAGGACTATCTGCTCCCAGCTGTTTCTGTCCCTCCAATAAGAGAATGGATGGACAGAAACAGCTGGAGAAAGGGAGATCATTTGGGGTTCCTTCTTTTAGAGTAGGGGGGGCAGAAAGGCAGGCCTTTTTCACTGCTGCCTGCTTTCTATGGAACAACATTCCCCCACGTTTCGGGCATCACAAAGATTAAGATCTGGCTTTTCCAGGAAATATTTGGGCTGTGATTGTGAGTCAGGTTCCCTGACCCAACCCCACCCCAGTAGGTACTGATTAGTTATTTCAGATGATTTTCCTTGGTGTGATATGATTGTTACTTATTACATTGTTACATTTCATGGTAGATGATATTATTATATTTTAAGTTGTTACTAGGTTGAAGACTACTTACAGCCAGTTTATAATTAGTGGTATTTAAACCAGATAGGTGAATAAATCAATAACCCCATCAGAGAGTTGCATGGTTGGTTTAATCCCTACCTCATTAAATGAAACCCACAATATCCAAACCTTAGAGGAATTCAATATGTTCTCATGAACAGATTAACATCATTATAACCCAAGGCTTCTCTTTGTGAATGTTGCATAAATGCATTCTCTTTTGTATTTGTTTTCCGTTCCCTCTTGTTCTTTAAATGAATAAAATGAATATTATTTTATACTGATTTAATTTCTGGTTGTTATTATATTTTAATTGCTCTAATGTAGGTTACATACATACATTCACACCCACACTATTCCCCTTCAGGATAAGCAATGTTATACACACCAAAAATAAGAAAGTAAAAAAAGAGAAAGAAATAAAAGCATGAGATAAAAAAAGAGAAAATGAAAGATAGGTAAAAACTAGATTACATGAACCCCAGTCACTATACATTTCTATCCTAGCATACTAAACTAGCATCCAACATGTCCATATATTGCTTTATTTGGTTCTTTAAATTTGCCTTTGGTTCTTTAAATATCTGACATCTCTTTTTCAGGCTCTCAGCAACTCCTATACATCTATTGTACTGTCTACAGTACAAATATAACCCCAACCAGCACACCTGTGATGTCACCACAAGTATTCCTTACACATTTTTTTCATAAATACAATAAACAAAGAACGGAACATCCCATATCCCTGTTTTGTTGAGAGCCAGTCTAGTGTAGAACATATTGCACTAAGAATGGCCAGACCCAGATTCCAGCCATGGTTGCTCATTGGGTGACTGGGGGCAAGTCTCTCTCAGCCAAACCTACATCACAGTGTTGTTGCAGGAAAAAAACAGGTCTTGTACTGAACTTGGAGCTAAGTGCATACCAAATCAAAATACTATTGCTACTCACTGTTCAGTGCTGAGCCATTCACTAAGCATTTTATTTATTCTCACACATGCTTCCTTTCATCATATGCTACTCTTAACACATTCAGCAAGTTTCAGCTCCGAATTTCCACAAAACAGCCCACCATTCAGGCCTATTTACTATCAGATATACTATCTAAATCAACAATTGCACAATAAACTTTCTCACATTTACAAATTTCTCAACGACTTGCTGAAGAGCAATCATTGACTCTGTACATCCTCTTCCTGGTGTAAAGCCACACTGCTGATTGTTACCATTGTACCCTTTCCATTATAGTTCTTCTCTGGCATAGTTTATAAATTATCCATATGGGGGGTTTGCATTTACTTTTGCTATCTTACTTTGTATATGGGGAATACTAACACTATCATTCTTCCATTTGTCAGGTAGAGATGCCGTTTTCATATACATGTGAGACAAATTGCAGAGTGCACGCTATGTAAACTGCATACCTAGTTTAACATTTTCCCAATTATACCATCTACATCTGCAGACGTAACCATTATTCAACATTATCACAGCATTCATGAGTTCCTTTTCATTATTTTTTTCTTGCACACTAAGATTTATAGCATGTGTTTCAATTCCACTCTTTGATGAAAAATTTATTATTTCCTTACAAAACTCTATAATACTCTTTCCAGCATTCCCTCCCTTCAGTTTCATCCCAAATAATCTAATGGCTTTTATTCATAATTCTATTGACTCTTCCTACTTACAAAACAATTTTTTATTTCCATCAAGATCGCTGTGCATTTTCTCTGCCTCTTTTCATCTTAACCACTACTTGCTCTCTTTAACTATATTCTTTTTCTCTCTGCACATTATTCAATATGTTTCTCTCATTTTCTGCAGCAATCATTGTCTTATATGCATTTTTTCTTCATCCACACCTTCTTTTATTTTATCATTCCACCAAGTTTCCTTTTTCATATTTCTCATTAGCATGCGTCTATGTACTCCTGGGGCACTCTGTAACATAATTCGTTTTACCCTATTCCAGGCAGTTTCCACAACTCCTTTCCTTATATGCATATTTATATTTTATTAAACATACAGCTTAACCCTGTAATTCAAGGTATGTACAACACTGAGTGGTTTCACACATTTTGGCCTGTATGTCACAAACAAAACCAAATATACTCGTGTCCCTGTGCAATCTGGGATCTCTAATCCAGAGGCTACATCTAACATACTTATCTCCATACCCCACAACTAGGAGATGTACATAGTATATGGACCCATGGGGATTCAGTAAATAAATAAATTATAATTCTACATTAAAAGCAAACTATCCCCTCATGACCACTAGATGCAATAAATAAATAAATCATCAGAATGTTGGGAAATTGTAGAATTTTGAGTTTAATAATTAAACATATGTGCATTCCATAGAAAATGCCAGGTACTTACAGATTTAATTTAAAAATATTAGAAGATAAATATGGCTTTAATAATATTAATATCTTAGATAACATTATAAATTTTAAATAATTTAACATTTTAAACTGATAAATACGAATAAATAAAATTTATAGATTAAAAATTATATTATCTTTTAAAATTGTAAAAGACTGCTATCCTCTGAGGTTTGGTAGAAGTCTCTTCTGACTTCTTGGATTTTGTCTTCTACTTCTCCTTAGTCTTTTAATTTCTTCAGCGTTCACTTCAAGCAAGACACGATACATTTCAGCTACTGCCTTGCGCTGGATTTTCAAATCATTCATCTATTTCAAATTAAAAATTTTGATACATTAAAAATAGTTGGAGATTATGAAAATAAAGCAATGCACTGTATGATCTATGTATGTTCTTCTTTAAAAAAAAAAATGGAGGTAAGTAATAATGGCACGTGTGCTAGAATCCCAGTGAAAGGAAAACAAGTTTTTCTGCTAGAAGGGCTGTTTCAAACTCTAATGCCCTGATCCAATAACCTAGAATTGGTAACCTGAAATATCAGGTACTATAAACTTCCTGAAGATTCCTCTTCAGTCTGTTGTGAATGCGGTCACTGAAAAGTAATGGCATGGTTTCCGACCATTTTCAGATGACTAACATATTAAAACTGTAATATTTGAAACTGTAACATTTCAGAAAGAAAGAATTATCTCCAAACACCTCCCTTAAACAAGGAAAATTGGGGAAAAAAAGACCTTGCCCACATGAATGATGTTTTCCACTTATCATATATAATGCACTGGATGACTCCTAACCGCCCCCCCCCCAAAATAGTAATTGTGGTTTTCAATAAGGAGCAAGAAACGAGTACATTATTGTTATTATTCCCTTCCACTATAACAGGAGTGGGGAATGCATATCCCCCCAGGTACTGCTGAACTACAATCCACAATAGTTTCATCCTGTATGACCTCTGATGTATAAACTGGGAGTACCCCTATTCTGTGTCTGTAGAGGAATACAGAGATAACATTGAAGAAGAACTGCAAGAGTGATTATGTTTCTCAGCCCTGAGAAAGAGGAGGGGGTGAAAAAGAGACTCAAGATAACCCTGCCTGGATTCTGTTGGTTTTAAGAGGTGACAGAGAGAAACTTTGGCAGGTTTTCAAGTGCTGTTATTATACCCTACAATAATAAAGCAGCTCCAGTGGTTCTTGTGGTGTCTGTTTCCTGACCTGGCCTACCTTGAAGGGTTGACCTTAATTTTGAAAGCCTGACCTAGTTTCTCTCTGCCCCCTCTTACACCAAAGAGAATCCAGGAAGGGTAATCCTTCTAATGCAGAATCTTGCAAGTGTGCCTGTGTTTTCCTTTCCTTCCCTCTTATACCTCGGCAAATCAGGGGGGAGTCAGTCTGAGTCAGTCAAATTCTCTTATACTCTTCCACCGTGGGCTTAACGCATGCTTCTTCTGACCTACGGTCATTCTAATAACCTCTGGCTACTTTCTCCATGGTCATCTCATAGCTCCCTATCTCAGCCCTTAAGGTAGACCAGAACTAGGAAATCAAAGTCACATAGACCAATACTACTTTTATTGTAGAGTTATAGTAACAGAATCTTGCAAGTCTGAATGTGCCTCCCCCCTCCCTCCCTTTATCTTTGTGTGAACTAGGGAGGGGCTTATCTGAGATGTTTACTCACGTTGCATTCCTGCCCTGGACTCGGGTTTCTTTTATCAGACCACTGCGTTGACAGGGGCTCTTCCTTCTGTCCCTCTGCCCTCTACACCCTAAAGTTTCTTTCTCATCCCTTCCTCTTTCTCAGGGCTGAACTAGTGTTTGTGCAATTGCTCTCACATTCCTTCTTCGAGGTTATTTCGGTACTCCTCTTCAACATCAGTATTCTCCAATAAGAAACCATCTAGATATGTTGGTCTTGCCCCCCACCATCCTCAACTAGCATTGCCTGTGTGTGGGTAAAATGGATGTTCAAGAGGAAATCTGTCTTTTTCACTGTTACCACATTGAGGCCTGAAGGTCTTTTTGCTATTTAATAATTGTCACACCACCTCAGTCTGCACCCCACCACTCCATGTAGTAATTGCAACCATATCCTTCTTGTACATATACATTTTCTTTTGACTTTATCACATGTTATACAGCAAAGGAAATTGTTGATACTTACCGGAAGGTTTGCCACCTCAATAAGATCATTTGCTTTCTTCAAGCTTTCACTGAATTGTGTTTTATATTCTTCCAAGGCTTCTATTAAGTCTCTGAGGTGGTCTGAAGTTTGAGTTTTGGTTGCATATTTCAACATGTTGCTGTACATTGAAATCATCTGGGCAAGTAAGATTTTTTTTTCATTGGCCTGCCAGAAAATCAGCAAAAAAGAAATATATTGGTGACATTTCTCCAATAACAGATATTTGAACAATTCAAATGAAAGGCCTTCAGTTTTTTTCATTCTACATGAAGTATCCTCAGACCATCACTGATATCTTGAGGAAGTTGTTTGGCAAAAATCAATGTCAAAACAATGGCTAGTTTGTTTCTGAAATCAGAGTGACTTCTTAGAGTTTCTCCTGATGTGTCTCCAAAATCATGTCAGTGTAGTTGATAAAGTTCCATCCTTCACATATAATTTTTATAAAAATATGAACACTGTACCATTTAACAAAACTGGCAATATACTCCATGTTCTTGTGTGTAGGGGAAATCTTCTATTGCCAAGTGTTTCGGAGCAATTGATATTTCAGTTCAGGACTAGAGTTTCCAAAATATGTGTCCCCCTCCACAGAACAAATTGAGGAAATTACCTCTGTCCATAGTCCATTTCTAAATCTGTGTGTGAAAATAGATCCATCATCAGCAACGTCAGACTGACTGGTGTTCTGCAATACAAGATACAAAATGGCTCAACCCAAAATATAATATAATTCATTTTTAGCAATGAAAGCTCTGGCTCAATTCCAGTTTTTTCTCTGTATTTTTTCCTCCACAGTCAGGTTGATAACTATTACATATCCCCTTAGACTTTGAGCCATACAAATTGATTCAGCTTGAGTTTTAAAATAACGTTGTTCAGAAATGCTGACCTCCTTTCTTTATTATAATATTTAGAAAGTGACTAACTGGTGGAAAATATGTCTAAGCTTCCTCTTCACTTTAATTTGTATTCCAAATATTTACCCTAAATATTCAAAATATACCAGTGAAATGTGATTAAATAAAGCATTTGGTCTTGAATATTTCCTACTTTTACCAATGTAAAATTCATCGATCTGAAATACTTCTATTTACTGTATCATCCTGACTTAGGATCTAGTGTGGGGTAGTGATGAAAGTGCTGGATGAGGAATGGGGATACCCTGGTCCAAATTGACCTTCAATCATGGAAGCTCAAGGGTGACTTTGGGCAGAATTGTTGCTGTGGGAGAAATTGGAGGCAGGAATGCCATGTACTCTACTTTGAGCTTCGGGAAAAAAAAGATGGGATAAATCTAACAGCAGACTATGATAGGGCACATTTAAAAGCTACAATGATGCTTAGTTTCTAATTCCTCTGTTCTATTTCTGCTCATAAATTCAGTTTAGAAAATGAAAGAAATATTTTAGAACTAAGCACATATGTTTGTCAACTTGGGTTGCCTTCCTTTTAAATTAGAGATATGGAGAACTCAAATAATGATTTTTAATTTCTATGCACAGCAACGTAGCATAAGCCAAACAATGTATCTCACACCGTTTCCAGCTGTTGTTAGTTTGTATTTCATAAGCACTACTAATGCTGAAGTTCTTATTGGTATTATAAAAAAATAATAGTATCAAATAGTAAATATAAGTACTAGATTCAGCAATTGCATTCCATTGGTTCTGAGTTGCCAAGAAAACTTATTTTCCAAGAATCAGACTAGGAAATACAACACTAACCAATTCAATATAGTCAAACAAAGATTATAGCTGTAGCTACTTTGGCAATGCATGCATGCAGACTGCCCTAAAATGCTGCTCGTAGCATTAACTGTCAAAGAAGATTGCAGCATAGAGTTCAACAACAATTTCTTCTGACTAAAGAAATGCTACTACCCATTAAGTCTACAGTCACTTCAGCGCTGAAATATAGTGTTATTTTTAACATTCAAAAGTTAAGATATGTAGGCTGCATTTCCATCTGTGGAATCAGTAATTACTTTCATGAAAATATCCCTCAAACACTTGAGAAGTCCCACTAGTGCATGTTTATTGTGTGTAATTCAGCTTGTGATGATACATCCTCAGCCAAATTTTAGTAACACCAAAAATTGCTTTATGTAGAGATGTAAATCTATGGGGAATGATATAATGAACTATCAAATTCAACATTTGAACTATATTTAGTCTCAAGTGTCTTCTATAACTATAAATCACAAAATAAGCAATTTCTTTGACACTTCATTAAATGAAAGCTTTAGAAAAATACATTTTCATGAGGATGTTCAACTTGTCATAGAACTATGAAAAAGCTTTAGCCAAGCTACATGTTCTAGGGTTAGACAATGAAAAAGTAGGAGAGGTTGCCAGTTCTGTGTGAAATATCTCAGAATAAGTACCTGAACAAGTAGCCAACTCTGCCTATTTCCCTTAAACAGTCAAATTTTATCTATGAACTCCAATTCTAGAGAAAAATCATACGTACACAGTTTTCCTGTAACTTTATCAGATGCATTGAAACAAACAATGATATACATGTGGACTAATAACTAATATTAATTCTTTAATTTATTAAATTAAATATAGTTATTCTTTCTTAAATTAAATATAGTTATTATTGCAAAGAGTTTTGTCATCTGGATCTGTAGTAGAAGCAAGTTCTAAATAATTCACCCCAAACTCATAGAACTAAAATGGAATGTTTTCCAAATTATTACAAATTTACATCAAGTCACATTGCATCAAAACTAGGTAGCTGCTCCAAAATATAGTTATCAGCTATGCTAGAGTTCATCCAAATAGAGAAAAGAAATTTTTAAAGAAGAGTTTGAAGGCATACTTACAAAATCATTCTCTAGCTTCATTATAGAATCTTTGATATGTTCAAAAGTTGAACCAGTGATGACATCAGGACAAGTACTCATTAGAAGGAAGAAGAGACAAATCTGCCAAGCCATTGTATCTGACTTAAGTAGAAAGACTACTTTGCTACAGAACTGGAAACTAGAACCAAAGTAGTGTATCTAACTTGACTGTCTACTACACTTGCAAGTTTGATCTTCGCCTCTCGGGGTGCTGATATATATACCTGGTCACTGAAGATTTTCAGTTCAGGAAATGGTATTACGAAGTGGTTTGGTTTTTATTAATAAGCTGTGGGATTTCACCATTTGAGTTTCCTTTAAATGACAAGGCTCTCCATGTGTTACCTATCCAGCAAACCAACCCTGCAGGGATCCTTCGAAAGCATGATCATATCAGCAAAAGGTAGAAGAAAATTTCCCTATCAAGCCCCATGCTCACCCCTTGAAAGAAAACCCCTTAGACAATACCCTGATTTAGCATTTGTGTAAGGGAAGCAGCTTCACAGGAAATTTGGGTATGAGGTATAATGCTCCAGGTATATATCTTAATGACTCAGATATACAAAGAAATCCACTTCAGTTTAATAGATGTACAGCTTATGTTACATATTCAAAGTGAATACAAGTGAAAATCCTTATCATTAAAGGAAAAATACCAGAAGGATAAATTATATTTTCCATGAATAATTTGATAGGTACATATTTAGATATAGATATATAGATATAGATTAGATATAGATATAGATATTTTCATACCATATTTATATATTTATTGATAAAATCAAGAAATAAGGACACTGATGAGATTCTGTCCTCAGCTAAGACCTATGACAACCAACCTGGAAATTGACTCAATGTAATTCCATAGCAAGTTTTTGCAAACAGAACCAGCATTGTTTTTCAGTGATAGTGAGAGAAATGATGTGCCATTAAGTGGTACATACATGTGGTATGCATTACAAGTAATAATGACCAGGCAGTGATGGAGGAATTCTCAACTAAGCTGACATTATGTGGTATCTAATCATATCTCTGGACAAGGCTTTATCATTGATCACTACAGCCTTACTCTCAGAAAGTATAAGTGAAACATGGAAACACTACTATATCCCTGCATAACTCCAAAAGGCAGATCTTTAGTTTACTTGTGTGGAATTTTTGGCATGCATATTTCCCATTTTGATCAGCATGCTCCTCGTGATATACCTGTATTTCTCCCAATCCCCATCACTTTTTCTAAGGCTGATATTATGTAATCTGTTCTTCAAAGCTGTTATTCTGAAGTGGACACTTGTTCAACACTGTTCCCACCCCAGTGGTGTGACTCAATGCCATGACCTCTGTACTCTACCTCCACTGAAAAAGTCCAACTATCTAATTTTAAAATAGTTTCAGTTGTAAATTTATTAGCTACTTCAGTATTCTTATTCCATGTGATATTTCTCAAATTATTACATTTAATATGAATAAGGTACACAGAGAGGATCTTTGGATCCTGATAGATTAGAGTCTTTAAGCCTTGCCCTTTGGAGTAGGGCAAAAACTATCAAAATAAATGTAATTCCCAAAAATATTTTATATCTTCCATGGAATTCCCACAGGTATATCTGGAAAATATTTTCAGAAATACATTGTACGTTGTTCTATACATTCCAATAGGTGTTTCTCACTTCTGAACCTATCTTTGAAAAGAATGTAGTTGTCAATTAAAAATAGGAGCTTTTTTTTTCAAATCTTGAATTTAGCATTATGCATATCTTTTGACTAGAACCAGTTTATAGATGGCTTCACTTAGGCCATATCTGCACTTAGGGTTTAAGCTGCTCCTGTTCTGTGCTCATACAGCTTGATTCTAAACCAGTTTAAGAAAATTCTATCCAGACTCAGACACTTTGGCAACAGCTTGCAAGGTATTCGGTCCATAGTGCAGGCTATCATGTCCTCCCACAGCTGCTGTGCCCTTCCACCTTGCTGTTCCAAGAAAAGTGATTGCTTCCTGGAGGTGATGATTCGATGGATAGATAGATTTGATAGATAGACAGACAGACTTTATATGGCATATATTAAGTATCTATGTCGAGGAAGATCTGCCCACAGATGTTTATTATCAGCTCAGATCAGTCCACTACAGGATGTAGACCACTAACAGTTATGAACCACAGGGTATCATACAGATTACAACAGATAAATGTTTTGATTTGCCAGTCTAGGGCTGAGAGACAGTGGCTGGCTCAAAGGCACCCAGGCAGTTTCCATGACTAAGGGAGGACTCAATCCTGTTCTCCCTGCTCCTAGTCCAGAACCACTACACCATATGGGTACTCATATATACATACGTATATACATACATACAAAAATTAATTGAATGTATATATACAAAGTTAAAGCATCAAAATGCATGTACACACAGGCACAATAAGCAACCTTTTAAAAACAAAAACCTTTCATACTGCCCTGTTTCTATTATCTTTGAGAGCTATTATTACCATGGTTATTATAATATCACAATGGCTACAACACTTGCCTTATAAATGGAAGGCTGCCAGTCCAAAATCCATAGCAACTTTTTTAACTACTATTTTTCCTTTACCTTAACATCCTATTTTCTGCATACCTTTTTAATTAAAAACTACAGTGGTGAGCTATTTCAGCATTCTTTCAGTCACCTGAGGTGGAAGGGTTTCACCCCCAGCATCCAAATAGCCCATAGGCAAGGTCTTAAAATTGTTATATTTTGGGAAGAAGTCATTCTCATATTCATTTGACCATGAGACACGGTTTAATATTTTTGGACATCCATATTCTTTTGAATCACACGTATATTAACTGGAAACATGATAGCTGGGCAACAGAAATGGATTCTCCATGTCTTTCTTACTGCTAAGAGATGCTGGAAAAACAAAAGTATGGCCCCAATTACTCAATGGCTTGAAGAGCTGATGTTACCTGTGACACGAACAAGTGGCTTATAGATGCAAAATATGATCATCCTTTACTGAACTGTTGCATGAAACATGAATATATGAAATATAAATACATATATGAGAAGCATATATACATGTATGTGTGTTGTTTTGCTTTATTTTTTCTTTTTCTGTTATGTTTATAAAGCATATTTGGGAGAGACAGAAAACCAGGATCTATTTAACTGTCATAATGATTTCCAAATGGGAATGATGTCGATGAGGTTCATATTAGAAATCCTTATCTCTCTCAAATAAGTACATTCACAAAGCAACCTATTTAAATAAAGAACAAGTTACATGTTGCATGAGAGATGTAACCAGCAACAGAATTTTTTGCAAGGATTATTCCAAAGTAAATGCTCTCGATTTAGATCCTCAGAGAAAGGGTCAGAGAACTCAAGGGGGTCTGTGATGCACATAAAAAGGGTGAGACATTGATCACATGGCTGTGGCTGCCATCTTAACTTTTTTGACTACTCCCCTAGGAGAATTTTTCCTTTTTGTTCTCTGCTGCAGGCCAAATCCAATTCAGGGAACTGGGTCCTATAATTTATATGGCCAAAAAGTGGCCTGTTTCATTACAGATCATGTGTACTAATATAAATCGTAAGGGGATGGTCTGATCCCCCCTGAACTGGACCAAACTACAGGCAAAAGATTAGTTTTAAATTAAACTTTGCTTTAAATTTGATGTTGCTCCAGTAGGATGTGCATTCACTTAATTATCTCTAAAATATCATTTGCAACGGCAGTCTTAGAAAAACATTATAAGAGGAAAATAAATGGAAAGTTAAGTATTTCTGATTTTTAAAAACTGGGAAACAAGTATTTCCCAGTATGTTTAAGACATCATCTGATAGTCCATAAGATATGCTAGATTCTCTTCTCTGAGAACCAAGGCTAGAATATCTTGGATAGCCATTATATTTACTAAACTCAAAGTTGCCTTTTGTAAAGAAAAGTTTCTAATAGAAGTATGAATATTCTTGCAGAAAATGTATATATTTTACATATTGTTAGGACTCTTGCAATTGCTTGTCTCTTTTTGTTCTATCAACCAAAAAGGTAGAGAGGCAGGAATTTTTCCAAAATCAAATATTGTGTGGATGCAAATGAATCCCTTTGTGTCAACTTTTCTGTTTAGAACAATTCAACTAGCTATGCCAAAATGTTAGGAAATGTGAAATCTTAAGACTTTTGTATAAAAGACAGAGAAGCACGTTTAAAAAATCAGATACTGTACAAAACATATAAGGAAATATAGTGCAGCCAAATAAGCTTATTATATGGAATGGCAAACTTATGGAACCAGTAGAAGCAATTGTATTGCAGATTCAGGAAGTGGATGTAACTGAAATGTGATATAAACAACAACAACAAAAGCTACATTTTGGCCCAAAGATGGTGAAAATAACAAAACTTTATTCCAACAGTATGGTATTGAGAGAGTATTCACTAGTCTGAAAATCTAGTCTTTTCATTTGTTATTTTAAATAAAATATTTCTAAACTTATAGCTGGAAAACTAGGGAAAACCAGCTAAAACATTCTACAAAGACAGCAAGAAGCTAAGCCAGATAAAATGCTCAACCGAAAAATATTTAGGAGCTCTAAATTCCCAACTTTAGAAGAGGAGTTTTTCCTCCTCTCTGCAGCCTTTGGGTGGTGTAGTTCCAGTGTCCTCCATATTGTTCAATATCTATGTGAAGCCCTGGGAGTGGTCATTAGGGAGTGTGGAGTTGGTACCATCTTTATGTGGCTGATTCCCAGATCTATGTTGGTCTCCACTGTAGGCTGTACACCAAACTGGCTCTCTATGACACAAAATACATTTTAAACAATTTAATACTAGGCTCTTATAAAAACGAAGGAGACAAAGTGGTTGCCAAGAGTTATTCATATCTGATTTTCACTGGACTTTCTCTTTTGCCTTCATGCACTTGTAGCTTCTGATAGTCCAGAATCACAGACTTTTATAATAGCGAATCAGTGGACTTAGCATGGCTATGCTACATTTCAGGAATAAGCCAATATTTTCTGTGCTGCAACTAAATGAGCACTATCAATAGGCACACTGATTTTCTTTCCTTTTTTCCTCAAGCTACTGTATCACTGAAACGATAAATAAAAAGTATCTAAAAAAGAACGAAAGCACATTTCTTGCTCTCCCCATGTTGAAATGGGAATATGCACTTCCAGGTACGT